CTACATCTTGGCCTGGGACTAGGGCCTGGAACTTCAGAAAGCAAGACTCCATGAATCCTGCTCAGGCAGTAGCTGGAGGCCCGGCCCCACCTGAAGACACTCTGGGGCCCCTGCCCACGGAAACAAGCACCTGGGGAAGCTGTCAGCTACTCCACTGCTCTGTCCACCAGGATCATCCTGCAGGTATCGACTGGGGGGAGTCCTGGTGGGAGGGGCTGGCTCTGAGGAACAGGCAGGGAAGAGAAGCAAAGCAAAGAAAGATGGAATGGCATGGTCCAGGGTCAGCTGCCCAGAGTTCTGGTCAGGAAATGAGAGCAGGCGGATGTGGTAGTGAGGTCAGAGAGTAAAGGCTGATGCAGCTTTTCTGGAAAGACACGCGTCACACTGGCAAAGGCCCAGGGAGGTGGAGGCTGGGCAGGGGGTGGGTTTGTCCATTAATATCTAGGACAGGTGGGCAGGATACAGCTGGAGGTTGAGAGCAAGAACGTGGAGCTCACCTCCTTTGGGTGGACTCGTCCAATGGGGAGAAGGTAGAGTGACAATGTTAGTGGCTTCTGTCCTACTGTGCGGCACACCACACAGCTGTGCGAATTCTCGTGCCTCTACTTGCTGTGTCCTCACTAGCAGCCATGGGATGGCCTGGTTCAAACTGTGCTACAGGGACGAGGCAAGGAAGGACCCGGCCGGAGATGAAACCACACTAAGTACCGCAACCTGCACTGCCCAGGAAGCCTACCGGAGGGCCCCCCCCACCCCCAGTCTGCCACTCTGCAAGCCGAGCTGAGTAAGGGGGGCTGGCCTTGCACCTCTTGATGGCTTCCTCTCGCCTACCTGAGGCCTGCTCTCCCACACAACCTATCTGAGCCCTATCAGGACCCCGACTTGTCCCCTCCGGACCCAGCTGCATGTGACTGGTGGCAAATTACTGAACTGCTGGGGAGAGCTGGGAGCTGCTCTAAGGGCCCCGAACAGGCGGACCCACTATGCTGATGTGCTAACCATGTGAGAACTCGGCGCTGCTGAGGCACCACTACACCTGATATCAAACACCCCCAGATCAGTTTTACCTGGACACTCAAGGCCTTGAAGCCCTCCCCCGGCCCTAGTCCCAGCTTCCTTCCTAAGATATGCCACAAGACCTGCAATGACCAAGCCAGCACCCACAGAACGACCTGCCTCCCCCTTGCCCCAGCCTGAGCTCTCACACATCATAGGCTCCCAGAGGTAGCTTCCTGGGGTGGCCTTATCCCCTCCCCCATCAGCCCATGTCAGACACAAGTCCTGCCTTCTCCAAGCCTCCAGACGCTCCAGGCAGGACTCCAGGCCTGGCCCAGGGCCCACATGGAATAGCCTGGAATCTGTGGCCAATAAATATTTGTTGAGGGATGACTGTTTGGGTGTAAATGCTTCCCTGGCTCAGGCAGGCTGCTGTGTCCACAGCAGTGGCGACTGAGGCAGAGGCCAGGGGGCAGGTTGGAGACCAAACACCTCAGGGTGGGCTCTGGTGACCCCTGGCACAACAGTCACTTGGGAGGCCAGGGGTGTAGGGAGCACGCCCAACAGCCAGCCTCGAAGTGGAACGACTGGGGCCAAGGAAGCCAAATGAACCAAGCTCTCAGCAGGGGTAAGGAACCCTCATGCCAATGTGGCAGGTACTTTTCAGGTGTGGGTCCCGAGTACAGCCACCAGTTCGGCAGAACCCAACACACCCTCTTCTGCCTTCCCCTTCCAGCCTCAGCTCTGCCCCTCAGCAGCACCCCTGCAGGGCTCTATAAGCCCCCAGCTGAGCATCTGTCTGCAACTCAGACCCCAAAGGGGATGCGCCCCATCCTTACCTTCATTGTGCTGGGCTCTCCTCCTCTCATCCCGGGGAGTTCTGGTTCCATCGATTTTCCTGCATCGGGGGAGGAAAACAGGGGCATGACTTATCCTCTGGGGCCCGGCCACCCCCGCACTTCCACAGAATGCTCAGACAGCCATCCTTGCAAGGGAAAGCCACATCCAGGAGGGAGAACAGTCCTTCCACACTCATGCCAGAGGAGCAGAAGCACCACAGGTCTGCTGTGTGCCAAACCCTCCAGGCTCCCATTCCAGCCCCCTCCTCCCCGCAGGGTGGGCCCTGCATCAGGAACTGGGTCTCCGCACGTACGGGGAGTAGGGGTGCGTCCGTGGCGCAATCGTCCTCTGTGTTCCCGTCTGGAGCACATCCTGGGGAGTCATCATGACATAGAACTGGCCTGCGGGGACAGCGGGAGTTAGCGTTGGCCCTGGCTGGGGTGGCAGGCGTCAGGGCTGGCCCTGGCTGGGGCGGCAGGCGTTTCCCCCTGCTTACCACCGGCCTGCAAGCTCTGGTCTGTGGTCTGCACAGACACTGCCGTGGTGTCTCCCACACTGGAGGCTGGGAAGTAGGCGAACCGCGCTTCTCCGCTGACGGCCTCGGCCGCAGGGCTGCCGCCATTGCTGAACGGGTTCTGGATGACAGCCTGGGGAGCAGGAGGGGAGAGTCAGCCCATGGCACCTTGGGACCCTTTGCGTCGCCTCACTGCTCTCTGCTCCTCACTACACAACTGTCCTGCAGCTCACAAGGCCCTAGAAATCTGGCAGATCTGTTTGTAATTCAAAGACATCATGCCCACTTCAGAAACATTCTAAGAGGATCCATGCAAGGTTGTACCACCTACCACACAGCTCTGACCCTGAGCAGCCTGAAGGCAGTGCCTGGATCCACCTGCCTCTCCCCTCCCCAGCTCTTGGTTCCCCAAGTTCAGGGCCACTGTCCATTCCCCACCCCAACTCTCAGGACCAAGTCGCTGGACACCTACCAGGGGAAAGGGTGCTGTGGGACCTGGAGGCACAGAGGCAGCGGTGGGGCCTGGGCGCTGGGCTGCACCATCCACACCCACCTGGGTCACAGCCTGCTGCCCTCCCGCGAAGGCAGCTGTGGACACGACGCTGACGGCGCCAGCCGCGTCGCCCTGGCCGTCCAGCTGACCATCAGTCACCTGGACTACTCGGTATGTCACCTGCAGGGGGAGGTAGAGCAGGCGATGCCAGACGCTGGGGTCCCCGCCCAGGGCTAGGTGCTGGTAGCCTGTCCCACTTGCCGCGGCCAGACCCTCAGTTCACAGCCCTGCTCCGCGCCGCGTGGGCGCATTATGGGCTGTCCGGCCGCCACCTCACCTGTCCTCCATTATTCTCTGTGCGGAACTGGTACTGGATGTTGTGGTCGCCGAACGCCGCCTGCTGGACGCTGGCGATGGCCACCGCCGTCTGCTCCTCCGCTCCAGGGCCGTCGCTGCCTGCGGTCGGAGGAGGAGGAGGAGGAGGAGGAGGAGGGTCAGTGGCCTAGCGGGCAGGGGCGGCGCAGGGAGGGGGGAGCGCCCCCAGCCCCTCCAGGTGCGCAGGCCGCAGCCCAGGTGGACCCCCACCCTACAAGCACTCACCTTCCTGCAGCTCGACGCCCTCCTCTGCCTCGGGTCCCTTGTCGTGGCTAGGACGGGAGGAGAGGGAGAAGAGGGGCTAGCGGCCTCCAGGGCACCCCCCTCCCCCGACCCTCCCGCTCTCTCCAGGTGCGGGGCCCTCACTCCACCTCGCCCCGTCTGCGGCCGGGACCTCTCACCACCCCCCCCCCACACCTCCCACCCCCGACCCCACTCGGGGCCGGGGACATCAGGCACCGGGTCCCCCCTCCCTCGCGGCCTCCATTTTGAGCCGGGCCCGGCGGCCGCTCGGGATCATGGCGGCCGGCCGCCAGGCCAAAAGGGGCCGGGGCCGGAGCTGGAGGGGGGGCGGGGAGCGTGGGGGGCGAGGGCCGGCAGGGTGCTCTTACCTGGCGGCGGCAGCAGCGGTGGCCGAGGCAGCGGGATCCAGACCCGGGTCCAGCATGTCCATGGGGGGGGTGGGGGCGGGGGGGGCGCGGGGCCCGGGGAGGGGGAGGGGAGGGGAGGGAGGGAGGGAGGGGAGGGGGCGGGCGGCCGGGGGGGCCCCCCGAGCCCGGCGCTCACGCCGCGCGGCAGGAGGGGACGGAGGAGACACGGGAGCCGCTCGCGCTGATCACGGGGACAAACAGTGGGGTCATGTGAGGAGGAGATGCCGCCGCCGCCGCCGCCGCCGCCGCCGCTCCTGCCGCCGCCGCCTCCGCCCGCCCGCCGGCTCCGGACGGCCCGAAGCCCCGGGACGCGGCGCGGCCGCCCCCCGCCCGCCGCACGCGGCCCTCCGGCCTGCTTCCCCGAGCGGGCGACCGCCGCCGCCGCCGCCGCGACTTTTTTTTTTTTTTTTTTTAAAGCTCGGCCCGCCCTGGACGGCCGCCGCCGCGCCCCCGGATCACCGGCTCCCGCGTCCGCCCCCCGGCCTGGCCCAGTTCGGCGGCGGCGGATCGCTGTTGCAGCCGCCGCCGCTTTCTATTTTTCCCCCCCCTTTTTTTTTTTTCCTCCTTTACTTGAGCTGCGCGCGCGCGGCGGCGGCGCGAGCCCGGGCCCGAGCGCGCGAGGAGGGAGGGCAGGCCCCGGGGAGCGCGCGCGCGCGGGACCGGGCCTCGGCAGGGCGCGAGGCCGCGCGCCGCCGGCGTGGAACGCAGGCCCGGGTGGAACGCTGGAGGACCGGGAGCAGCGTGTGTGGGGGGCGGGGGATGGGGAGGAATCTGGTCGCCGAGAGCAAGCGAGCCCGGCCGCCGGGGACCGGATGATCCTAAAGTAGGTCGGGGCGGGCGGGGTGGGAGGGCGCGCGCTCGCGCGCTCCCGCGGCAGGCAGGGTAGCCGTGCGCGCAGGCGGGAGGAGGAGCCTGCGGCGCATGCGCACGTCGGGGCGGGGCCCGGGCGCGCACGCAGGGCGGGCGGCGCGGCGTGGGGCACGTACTGTCCTGGGAAGAGGGAGAGGGTGCGCTCGGGCTCTTCTTCCTCCGGAGCTGTGGCACTCGCAGCCGGGGAGAGGGAGGAAGGTCTTAGCGTGGTCCGGTGCCCAAGCCCCCTGCGCCGCCAAACAAACGCTTACTCTCTCAAGACTTGTCATTGTAAACTTTATTAAACTCAGGAGGGGAGGATCTGCCTCAGTTGTCTGTCGAATTAAGAAAAAAAAAAAAAGTAGAAAAAAAGCTACAAAACGTTGAGGTCAGACAACCAAGCTCTCTCGACTCAGGGCCAGGTTCTGGAAAGAAGGAAGGAAAGAAGGGTGAAGCCTCGGGGTGGGTGGGTGAGCTGGGAGCATCCCAGGGTGCACCCCCAACACTCACCTTCTTCAGCCTCCGCTCCCGGGAGGCCTGCGATTCTGTCTCTGAGTAAGGTGGAGGCGCGGGAGGGTAGTAGTCCTCCTCGTGCTCTACTTCCTCCCTGTAGGGTCGCCGCCTGTCCCCGGACCCCTTCTTCCTCAAGGCCTCTTCCAGCAGTCGTCCGTCATATGGAGGCTCCCTAGCTCGGGAGCCGTCATCCCGAGGGTCTCGGGACCGGGGGTAGCGAGACCTGGGGTCTGCATGAGAGCGGTCCCGAGCCCTGAAGTTGTCATGGTGGGGATTCCGGGAAGGTGGAAAGTCCCGGGGATCATCATGGTCGTAGAGGTCATCCCGGCTGCGGCTCCTCGGGGGTGCGTAGGCTCGCCCCCTCCGCCCGCTGCTGGGGGGTGACCTCGTGCCTGACTCGGCTGAGCCCGGGCGGGCTAGGTCATCCAGGGCATCCACAGAGCGGGCCCGCGGCCGCCCGGACCCCCAACCACTCCCAGGACGCTCGGTGGGAGGCTCCTGAGCCCATCGCCGGGGACTCTGTGGAGAGTGGCGGTCCCATTCCTCGTCCCGGATCGGGGTGAGGGCAGGCCCCCTGGAAGGCCGGGACCGCCAGTCGTCCTCATGAAGGGAGGTGACTTCACTCATGGCTGCAGAAAAGGTGGGTGTCATGGTCAGCCTGCAGGGTCACCCTCCCCTAACTGGGGGCACCCTCGGATTCCAAAGCTGGCTCTCACCCCTCTCCACGCGGCCGTTGAGAGGCCAGGGCCGGGAAGGGTCAAAGTTGGCCAGCTCTTTCTCCATGTAGTACAGAACTCGCATGGAGTCATCTTGCTGGTTAGCTTGAATCCTGTAGCCGCTGCGGACTTCTAGGGACAGAGGAGAGGGGGACCAGCTCAGAAAACCAGCTGCTGATCTACCTCCCTCACCTCCACTTGCGGCTTCATGCTTACCCGAGGTCACACTGCTGTCTGTGTCACGAAGCAGGGGTACCTGGGAACTGTGACCACCAACTGGGGGAAGACTGGCTGTCAGTAGGTCCCCAGTTCCTCCCTCACCCCCTTATCCACCCTTCCTTCTAGCACCACCCCACCCCCGTCCCCTCCCTGTGTCCCACCAGTCCAAGGCTCACCTGAACTGTTCCTGTCGAAGTCTCCAGGGTACCCGTTGTGGATGGGGCCCATGGGAATCATGGTTGGTGGCGGGGGTGGGGTCTTGGTAGGAGAGAGGTAGGCATAGGTGCTGGGGGCGTAGATGCTGGGGACACCTGAGGTGGCTGCTTTGCCGGCAGCGTACACTAGGGGGACAGGGTGGGGTAGCCATGAGCTGGACTGCATTACCCGAGGATGCTGGCCTGGGCCCCTCCTCCCACCCCTGCTATGGACCATTCCCCAAGCACTTGGCTCATGCAGGTCCGTATTCTGTAGGGAACCAAGGCTCATAGTCACGGGTTCTGCTGTGTGTCCCCACACAAGTGTTGGAACAAGTGCACAGAGGCAGCCCCTAGCAGTTCTTGCCCACAGGATGGACGTTTGTGAAAGATCTGACACAAAATCCTAATCCTGCAGCCACCTCAGCTGTGTTTTCCAGGTAACAGGGCAACGCCTTGCCTGTCGTCCCCACAATGCTGGAACTGGCTGCCCTTTGCTCTAGAAAAAAAGTGACTCATCTTGGGGCTTCCCAGACCTGCTAGATCATCCTGCAGGCCCAGCCGCACCAATGGGGGGAGTCTGGGGCAGGAGCATGTGTGTGTGGGTGTCTGGCCTAGCAAGGAAGGATTTGCTGTGCCTCCAGCTCCCACTCCCATCCGCCTCAGCCTGGCTCTCGGCCAATGGTTCAAGGACAAATCCTTTTTGCTGGCTCCTGGTGGCTGCTTCTGCAGCAGAGTCCCTGGGCTGCAGGAAACACACCCTCTTCTTTGGGGCTCCAGCAGACAAGTGAAAGTGGGGGGCAAGGGGGAAGGCTGGGTGAGGCCTCCTGCACTCTGGCTGTGCCCGGGAGAAGCCCTCCCTTAGCTTAGGACTCAGTGAAAGTGGGTGCCATCTGAGGGCTCATGGGAAAGGTGGTCATCATGGCATGGCAGGAGGCTGCAGGGTGCGCACAGGGACTCAGTGGAGGAGGTGTGGCTTAGGCACTGGCACTCAACGTCTTAGGTCCCATGGTACAAGTGGGTTAGCTGCAAAGCTGCCTGCAGCAGCCTCACGCTCCCTCCCCGAAAGGGGCTGAGGTGCAGGCGCAAGCAGCAGGGCCAGCCTGCATCGAGGAGAGTGGTGGTGTTTGTTGGGGACGGTAGAGTTGCTCCCCCCGCACCCGCAAAGCTGTCTGACCGTGGATTGCATCAGCCAACAAAGGCCAGAGCTGCAACCCCATCAAAGAGGAGGGTTCCAGCATGGCTCAGGCAGGGTGCTGTGTGTGTGGCCTGTGCCCTGACCCATGCTCACTACTGCTGTTGGCAGCCACAGTGTCCAACAGCCAGGAGGTGCAAAACAGCCTAAGCAAATGGAGCCCAGTGCTCAATGCTATCTGGCGTCACCTGGGCCCCGGACTCACCCTGGACGGTGAGGTACGCCCTACGGAGGAGGAAAAAGGGGCCGGGAGAGGCCAAGCTGCTTGCCGAGCTTCCCGGCAGGCCAGGCTCTGTTAGTTCTCGGAAGGGAACCAAGGCACTGGCAACAGCCATGGGAGGTAGATGTGGTGCCTGCCTTTTCCTCCATCTGTGGTTCCTTTGTCCCTGCTATGCAGTGTCCGTGGGGCTGTGGGCTTCTGCCTGCGTGTGCAGTGTCCGTGGGGCTGTGGGCTTCTGCCTGCGTGTGCAGTGTCCGTGGGGCTGTGGGCTTCTGACTGCGTGTGCTGTGTCCGTGGGGCTGTGGGTTTCTGACTGCTTTACCATCCACTTCTAAAAGGAGCTTTACTTCCCCATGAATACTGTTTCCTACTGTCGGAAGGTTTTTTTCACCCTGGGCACAGACTGCACTCGAAAGGAAAAGTCAAAATAAATGAAAACTGACCCTAAGAGGTGGCCTGAATACATTACAATCTCAAACAGTAGCCCCTCTTTGTCTTGCTTCCCTCATCGCCTCCAGCGCAGTGGTGCTGTCCTGGGAGAGCAGGCAGATGGCCGCCTCCCTTGCACAGGCCCCTGGAGGCAGGCCGAGCAGGGGTAGCAGCATGAGGGGCACTTACGGGCCTCAGGGCAGCAGCACTTTTCAGGGCAGCAGGGGCACCGGACGTAGCAGCAGCAGGTATGTGGGCAGCACTGACACCAGCAGATCCCCAGGAGGAGGAAGACAAGGAAGCCCGCGAGGCAGACCACGACCACGAAGAGCCAGTCTACGGGAGATGGAGATCAGGCCCTGAGTGGGGGTGTCCTGCTGGGGGCAGGGGCTGGGGGGGAGCCAGGAGCAGAGAGGGGTCCTGCTGGCAAAACCTCCCTAGGGAACCCGCAGTTCCTGCTGGGTTCTGCTAATGCCAGAGGCTGGGACAGAGCTGCAGAGTTCACCAGCTTCACATCAGAGAGCCTCCCGCACCCCAGGGTTCAAACAGGGCAGAAAACAAGGAGACACAAGTAGGATGCGGAGGAAAGCGCGCCAGCAGCCCAGCTCCCCATCCCACAAAGAGCACCAGACACCAGTCACAGGAGCCCCTACCTACACCCCAGGCCCCTCTTCTGCCAGCCGAGCCCAGTGCCCCAAGCTCGGCGAGTGTGAGTCAGGTAGGGTTAGTGGGGTCCACAGCAGCGCCATTTAGGGGGTGGGGCTCCTGAGAGCACCCCCCCCCAACTGAAGACTTCACCCTCCCTCCCCCTGTACCTTCCATGGGCCCCGCCTGAAAACCAGGCAAGAGCTCAGCCACCCCTGAGGTCCTGCCTGGAGGGACAAAAGAGAAACAGATTATGCTGGCCAGAGCCAGCCCAAACCACCCTGCTGGGCAAAGAGCCCTGCTCCACACTGCTCAGCAGAAGGTGGGCCCTAAAGCAGGCACCACAGGAGCTGGGGCCCGAAGGAGGGGGCTGTATCCTTCACATCATGTGCCCCCACCCGCTGTGGGGGGATGTCAGGTGTGAGGCTCTCTCCCCCTTTGAGCCACCACATCCTGAGGGGCCTGAAGGTTTTGCCCCCGGCTGGGCATTTTGCCTTTCCCATCCACACCCTCCCACACAGCAGCCTAATCTGTTAGGCAAAGGGGACAACAGGGCCCTGGAGCCCAACCCAAACAGATTATTTTAAAATCTCAACAGTATAAAAAGTTCTGGGTATATACCACTGACTTGTCTAGAAAAGTAACATAGTTGGGGCAGGAACAGTGGCACGATGAGCTAAACTGCCTCGTCCACATGAATGCTGGTTCGAGTCTTGGCTGTGCCAATTCCCATCCAGCTTCCTGCTAATGTGCCTGGAAAAGCAGTGGAGGATGGTTCAGGTGCTTGAACCACTTATGAGTCCCAGAAGACGCCCCAGGCTTCTGCTTTCAGACTAGCCCCTCCAGCTGTTCGGACCCTTTGGGGGGTGAACCAGCAGATGGAAGAGCTCTCTTTGTCTCTCCTCCATCTTAATAACTCTGCCTTTCAAATAAGTATGTAGAGTTTTCCAGTTTCTGGAGCGGGCATTTAGCCTGGTGGTTACAATGCCAGTGCCCCCATCGAAGCCTGTGGTTTTGATCCCCAGCTTGAACTCCAGCCTGCTACCCGTGTGGGACTGAAGTCTTGACTCTCCTGGCTTCAGCTGCAGCGCATGCTGGGAAGGAACTAGTGGATGGATGGGAACTTCCTCAATTTCTGTTACATCTCAATTTATTCTTTAATTTCCAAGTTTTCACTTCTCATATGTTAAGCAATTATGAATATGGCCCAAAATAACCTCAAAATTCTTTGAGATCCTTAACATGCCAGCTTAACAGTTGTAAATTTATTCTGAGCCTAAATTTTAAAAACTGCATCTGCAGAACATGTGTTACCAAAGGACACAGAGGTGCCCAGGTCACTGGGGCATGGGTCCCATCACCCACCCCACCATCTGTGCTCCTTCCAACATGTGTGATGGTGGTGGACAGCCCAGCTGTGCCCCTCACACACAGCACTCGGGGACAAGAAACCCTATGTGCCGGCTTACAACCAGATGGCTGGCTCAAAGCAACACCCTCTCCACCTAGGGCAGGGTGCTGATGAAGGCTGCCTCCCATGTCCCTGGGCATCCAGAATCAGCCTGACAGCCACATAAGATGCACCACCCACAAAGTTGGGTTGGGGAGGGAGGAGAGGCTCTAGGATGCCTTGTGGCTGAAAATGGCCTAGCCAGTTAAGAAATTGCATTTTCTAACATATTAATCACTCAATACCTTGTTAATTAACTTCATGATGTTATTAATTTCCATGTTTCTTCCTGTTGTTGAAGTTGTGTAGTGACATCTCATTGGAGGGAATGATATTCTGCCAGCTCTACTTTCAGACCAAGGATGGTCTCCCAATGAAACTGTTGAATTTATCTGGACAATAAGATGCTGGACTCTCTGCATGGTCCATGCCCGCAATGAAGGAATCATGACTGGTTATGAACTGTACTACTGTAACAATATGGAGGAATTTAATATGGGGGGAGGGGCTGGGGGAATCCCAGAGCCTATGAAATTGTGTCATAAAATGATATAAAAAATTAAAAATAAAAAAAAAGAAAGAAAATGGCCTAGCTCCCTCCGTGGGTCTGCCATGTTGGAGCTCACCAACAGAGGGTCAGAAACCCAGGGAGAGCCACTGTCTGGGACAGAGTTGTAGGTAGCAACCGTTTCCCCAGCTAATACATTGTGTTACATATTATCTAGAGGTGATTCCAGTAAGACTGGAGAGGAAGTGGGTGAGTTAGATAAATCCCACCCTGTCCCACATAGAGGACCTGAACAGCTTCTCTGGTTGGTATGGGGAAGGTGGATGTCCTAGAACCTACTGTGGGGAGGTGGGGAGGCCCAGAGTCAACTGCATACACTGCATACACTGTCAGCCCCAGGATCTGTGTGTGAGCCCCAGGATCTCCGCACCCTGAGTTTACTGTAATGCTAGGGGACGGGGGAAACGGGGCCCGGCCTAGGGTGCAGGGCACAGAGAAGCCCAAGTGACTGGTGGTGCTGCAGGATGGGGGGAGGGGACAGCAGAGCAGGCACAGAGCCCAGACAGGAGTGGAAGACAGAGACAGAGATGGACAGGAAACCATCCCCACCCCGTCCCGCTTCACTCACCCAGAACCAACAGCTCCGCGTAGGCCTCGTTGTTCCCCTGCACGTCCTGGGCTGAGACCACAGAGCAGTAATACACACCACTGTCGCCCCATGCCGTCTGTTCGAAGGTCAGATCCGCATCTGAGCCAGGAGACAGTGAGTAAGGGGGCGCTCACTCCCCCAACACCAGGAGAGGTGACAAGGTGGGTAGGACTACAAGTGACTCCAGAAACTAAATCATCCTCGCCCAAGGCAGTTATGTATGTGCCAGCTTCTCTGAGCGTGTCCCAGGGCCATTACGAGTGTCTAGGACGTGGGCACCACTCCCACACCTGTGTTGTAGTACACACAACAGGTTCAGGAGGCCACAGGCCCACCTGATGGGCTCAGGACAGGTGGAGCTGGGCAAGACCTTGCTTCCAGCCCAGACCCCTCCTCTGCGCCACCAAGTGGACAGGCCCAGAGCAAAGGGGCAGAGGCACCCAGCCAGATACCAGGTCAGCCCGAGTGGATGGGATGGCTCCGGGAGAGGTAGGGGAAGCTTCTGCCCGCTCCTGGCACATTCCAGGTCAGGCCCAGGGCTTAGGGACGCAGCAGCCCCAGGCAAGCAGCCAGTTAATTACGCCCCTAATGAAAGTCTTCCATTTCCTCTGTGCTTCTCAGGCCCTAATTAGTTACCCTACTCCCATCATTCAGGTGTGGGACAGGAAGAGTCCACTTGGCAATTCTGCCTTAGGCCCCCGGTGGGGGAAGGAAGAGGCTCTGTACCCACTCCACTGCAGCCTCCAGGTCACTGCCCAGTCCAGCCCAGTCCACCTCCCTGCCTGCTCCCCCATGCCCTTGAGCTCACTGCCTTCCCCTAGGATAGCCCAGGAGGACAGCAGTAAGGATGCCCAACTCTGCAGCCCCAGATGCCCTGTTTGTACCCAGCACCCCAGGCTCCTTCATCCTCCACTCCACCCCAGCCTTGTCCTCTCCCCACTGCAGACTTTCATCTGTCTGTCACAGCTACACCAATCTCTTCTCTCATGCTGGCCTTTCTCATTGCTTCTGGAACATTCGGTACCCAGGGTGACATTTTGACACTGACTCCTTCACTTGGACAAATAAGGATTGCGGGCATCCTGTGTTCTCAAATCTACACATCTCTGACACACTCGAAAGCCCACGTTATGGAATTTTCACTGTGGTAGTCAATTAAGCCACTGCCTGTGATGCCCGCATACCATAGGGGCACTGGTTTGAGTCCCAGCTGTTCACTTCTCATCCACCTTCCTGCTGATGTACCTGGGAAAGCAGCAGAGGCTGGCCCAATGCTTGAGCCCCCTTGCCACTTGCATGGGACACCTGGGCGGAGTTCTGGGCTCGTGGCATTGGCTTGGCCCAGCCCCAGCTGGTGCAGCTGTTTAGAGAGTAAGCCAACGGACAGAAGAACTCTCCATCTTTGCCTCTCTCTATGTCACTCTGCCAATCAAACATGTCAACCTTGTTAAGCAGCACTGTTGTAGAAAACAGACCTAATCCTTGCCCTCACAGGCTGGGACTCGAGAGAAAACACCAAGCCAGAGCAGACTGTGATAAACAGGACGGAGAAACAAGCCAGGGAAGGTGACAGGACGTGCCAGGCATGGAGAGCAGGGCCACGGAATTATTTCAAATCAGAAGGCCACGGAAGGTGACCTTCAGAGCACAGTGAGGGCGTGGAGGCCACAAGTCGTCCTGACACGGGGCCCCCTGTGTGTGATGAGCTCCTAGAGTGTGCTGGGCTCCACACGCATCCCTCACCGAACCCTCAAACTCGCAGCAGCATCTTCCACAACACCCTCTTGGCTGAGCGCTCCAAGCAGCCCTTGACCAGGCCTCTCATGGCGGACAGGAACCCCCTGCCGCAGCCAACAATGATGCAGGCCAGGGAGGTGGACTCAGGAGAGCGGGAGGATCCGGGCCACTATGCATTTGATTTGGCCTAAGCGATGTTTTCAAAACCCATGGAGAATAGAGGTTTCCGGCCTCTTTTGATAATCCAAAGGCCTGGGCCCCAGCTCCTTCCTGCATAGTGCACCCCGTTCCCAGCCCCCCACCTGGCCTTGAGGTCACATGGCTGGGCACTGCTTTAGTTTGGTAAAGAGCCAGCCCAGGGGCTGGCTCCTCACCTGCCCTAGGAAGACGCAGAGTGAAGGAGGCAGGGGGGACACAGGTCCCCTGAAGTTGGGGCCCATGCCACCCAGAAGTGGGAGGCACCCAGGTCAGGGTTCCACCCTACTCAGGGCTCCCTTCACTCTCCAGTGCACCATGGCCAAAGCTGTTTGCTCCAGTGTTCAAAGCTGAAAGACAGGAAGCTTGTGTGGCTCCAAGCTTTCCGGAAGGGACTCACACAATGGGCACCCCTCACTCATGGCCTGCATCAAACATGAAACGCAGAAGGAACCCAGCAGCTTAAAGCTGCCTCCTCCCCTCACCCCACCACTGCTCACAGTGGGGAGGCCCAACAGGGTCTGGCAGCCAAGCCTGGTCCAGGCTGGAGAAGGGGCCAACCCCACCACCTCACCAAAAGGCCTTTCAGCTTCATGAACAGTAGGATGCTTGGGGTTGGACTGCCTGTGGAGATTCGGGGGACGCCTGGCCCCCTTCCGTGAAACAGCATGATGGATTCAAGTCATTCACACAGTACGCTGTTTTCTTCGTTAGCACTTGGGCCTGCACCTACTCTTTCTAGATGTACCTGCCTACTGCCAGGTGTCACCCCACCAGTCTCAGGCCCTTGAGGTCAGGGACCCTAGTGTGTCCTGATCATTATACTATGCCTGGCACCTTCAGCAGTGCCTGATGGACACAAAACACTTGATGGACACTGAGAGAATGACTTCCCACTGAGAGGCGGGGATACAGCTCAGGACAACCAGTCCTTTACCAACTGCATATCTTAGGTGAGCTACTTTAGCTCTTGGCACCGCTGCCATCATCATGCCTGTAAAATGGCATAGACCCCACTCAGCGGGAGAGCCTATGTAATGAGCCCCTTCCATTCACTCCCTGCCACTTGCTCTCGGGCCCTTGGCTGCTTCTCCAGAGCCAACCAAAGGTGGGAAGAAGTTTGGAGATTCAGCCCCAAGTGGCTGAGTAAGAAAGCCAGCTGTCACCAACTGGGTGGCCTCAGTTGAGTACCTTTCTCTCTCTGGACTGGTGAGGGGGTGACAGTCTCAGAAACGATTCGCTCCATTGCTGTGTGGTCCCAAGGAGGCTGGGCTCCAGCCTGAGCCTTAGGCAGCTCTCTCTGGGCTGGGACTGCTATAAACCTTCAAATTAGGGTAGCAGGACCCGTGCTTGCCTGCCCTGCAGCCCCTGGCCTTCACACCTGCCTCACATACTGCAGTGTGACTTTCCCAAGGGATGGGCTTTCTAGGAGAACTTTGTCTACCAGCTGCACTCCCAGGGCCTGCGACAACCGGGTCTCGGCGACAGGTGCTGTGTCTTGTGGTTACATAAAAGGAAGGCTGGATGGACACAAGGAAGGAGCCTGCCCTTCCACACATGGGTGACCCAGGGCTCCCAGGTGACGAGTGTGCACTGATTGCCTCTCCCCCCACCCTTCTGCCCAACTGTGCCCAGCCTACTTCCTGTGATGGTGATCCTCCGGCCCTGGTAGTAGTCGCCCAGGGTCACGGCATTCCCCTGCTTGGTGGCCACTATCCTGACGGTGCGTGCACTGTCCTGGCATTCCACATAGGGGTTGTAGCCTGGGTTCCCAGCTGCCAGCTGCGCGTTGATCTGGTTGTCTGCGCTGGACAGGGAGAAGGCATCAGCGATACGGTCCCGGCAGAAGGACTTGTACTTCCAAATGATGATGGGGGCTGTGGTGGTGGCAGTCATCTGGTAGGTGCAGGGCAGGGTCACGGGCTGGAAGAGGATCACCACGTGGTAGGGGTCTGACACCGTCACCTGGATGGCACTGGCGGGGGCTGCAGGTGAGAGGAGGGCAAGGCCGGCCATGAGCCCAAGGCAATGTACAAAGCAGAGTGCGAGTGAGGATGTGGCCCGACACTGGCTTCACCCTTGGGAGTGTGTGGCTTTAAACTACGCCCGGGACACATTGTTCCTTAATCCCCAGGGACCAGGGAGGTGGCTACAGTAATCATTCTACTTTTCAGACCCACAGGGCTAGAATGCCAGAGCCAAGGTCTCAAGGCCAGATGCCTGGAACTCTGGCTTCACTCTTATACCCAGGCTGGAGGTGCACAGCCCCCTGGGCCCTTGGCGGGTCTTTACAACAAGTGGCTCTCTCCAGGAACCTCTGAGGGCCATCGCAGGTTCCAGGTGCTCCAGGCCCCACCTGCAGTCCAATTGCCAAGAACTCCAAGTTAGGGGGTGGCTCCTGTGCACTCGGAGCAGTTGTTACTTCCTTAAGAATGACTAAATCCCCGTTCACCCTATCCAGGGTCCGGGCAAGCGTGCTTGCTCCAACGGAAAACCCTTTCACCCCCACTCGAAAAAACAGTAGATCCAGGTAGGCAGGAGTCTGCCAGTTCCAGGCGGGTTCAAGTCCACAAGTCCATTCTACCAAGCCCTAGAGCCTGCGGGAGGTGCGTGTGGGCGCTGGGGAGTCCCCAACCCCACAACCCACACCTGCCCAAGCACCGGTACCATTCTTCCTGTCTCCCTCCAGAAAGCGCCGAGCCCACCTCTCCCCAGGACCCCAAAGCTTAGCAATCTCGGGGTACACCTAAGTGCCCATTCCAGCTTTCACACCTTTCCCCCTACCCCGCCCCCCGCCGTCGCGGTTCCACAAAGGGTCTCCCTCAGGCGGCCGCTCCCGCGAGTTTCACTTCCTGTTCACTCCAGACACTGACCGCGGGGAGCGCTCCGCGGCTGGGCTGGGTGAATTCCCTTCCCTCCGCACAGCAGGGATCCTTCAAGGTGCAGGGGATCTGTGGGTCCTGGTCCCCACGTCCCCGTCCTGGGCTGCAGAGATCTCTGCTCCATCTCCCTTTGCAGGGGGTCGTCCCGCATGACCGGGGCCCCCGCGCGCCATACCTGTACACCAGGTGCTGAGAAGGAGCCACACGAAGACGACCGCGCCCCGATCGGGGGCGATCGGTTGAGAGCCCGGCTCCCAGGGACGGCCGGCCGCTTCCAGCCCCATCGCTGGCCGCCGTCTGGGCGCGTCGGGCCGGCGCGTCCCCACCCTAGTGCCCGCAGAGTTGGGGGCGCGGCGCACACCAAGGCCGGCAGGGGTGGGCGCTCCTCCCCTTCCTTCTTTTGCTTCTTGTCACGGTTTCAAGATTACCCTGTTGGTTCTTGAAGTTTAAAAGAACAGACACAAAGTGGGCGAAGTGCGCCCGTGCCTCTTTCAGCAAAAAGTGCCTGGCCCCACTGCGTTCCTTAGAGTCACTCCACCCCCTTCGCGCCTCGGGGAATGGATCCGCCCAGGTACACAAGGGTGGGAGCCAGGGGCTGGGCTTGGTGGGGGTGGGCGGTGGGGAGGGGCTCCCCACCTCCCTCCCCGGAAGTGAGCTGACCCAGGTGCGCTCCAGTCCTCGGGGCCAGAACCAAGTGACTAGGCCAATGGGAGGGCGCGCGCCAGGGCACGATTCCATCCGGCCTCCCTCTGCTTGGGTCATGCCCAGCGGACCGAGACTCTCGAGAACCAAGACCCCTCTTTGGGTGATTCACCTGTTGCGAGTGGGCGGATCCCGCCGCGCACCTGTTCCCTCCCTGCCCACACCCCTGTGCCCGACTGCCGATGGACCCGCCTCGGTGCGCCCCGCGGGAGGGTAAGGCGCCTGGGAGTGTTTGGGTTTCCCAGTTGGCGCTGGGTTTCCTCGTATCCAGGCTGGGGAAGCTGGGTGGCGGGGGCTTCTTGTGCCTTCCAGTCAGATACTTTAAAGGACCGCGCGAAGTCGCCATAAGGAACGTTCCGCCGCCCGGGGGACACTCGAGGAAATCGAACTAGTCCTGGAAAAGTTGGAATTGTGCTCCGGCCGTTTCTGCCGCCTCCCCGCCGGAATCCCAAACTTGTGGCTCTGCCCCCAGGCATCCTTTGCCCCTGGTCAGGCCTCCGGAAACTCTGGCTCTTAAAGGCGCCAAGGGGAGGCTCGGGGCTCGGGACCGGCTTCCGCCGGAATGTTCCCGGGCGGTAGCCACCTGCTTCTGGGAGCAGCCCGCGCCGTGCTCGGCGTGGCTCTGCTGACCTCCGGTGGCTGCGCCGGGAAGCGTACCCTGCGGGAACCCTGGGCGCTTCCTCACCTGACACTCCTGCAGGTGGCAAACCGACCGCTGACTGTGGTGGGGACCTGAACCTGATTTAGTCTGCCGCATCCTTTTAAAATTCAAGGCAGAAGCCAGCGTCTTAATTCCTGCTCTGACTCCTTCTCACTCCCAGTAGGAAATTCCTGAGCACACTCGGGTTTTCACTGTTCCACCGCACCTCCTCACGTTCTCTCTAGACACCCACCATCCCCAGCATCTGCTGCCCACGTGGTGCCCACAGCAACCTCTCGCCCTTTCCGCGGCTGCCCCCTCTATCCGCCCCTTCCTTAAGGTCTTTTTTTTTTTTTAATTGGACAGGCAGATTTAGAGACAGAGAGGAAGATCTTCATCCACTGGTTCACTCCCCAAACAGCTGCAAATGCCAGAGCTGAGCTAATCTGAAGCCAGAGGCTTCTTCTGGGTCTCCCACGCAGGTGCAGGGTCCCAAGGCTTTGGGCCTTCCTCCATTGCTTTCCCAGGTCACTGGCAGGGAACTAAAGGGAAATGGAGCAGCCAGGACACAAACCGGCACCATATGGGACCCCAGCATGTGTAAGACACGGACTTTAGCCACTAGGCTACTACACCCGGTCCTCCTTCAGGTGTTAAAGATCATCTTTGCAGCGATAGCCTCCGAGGCTGCCTTGTAATAAAATGTCAACAAATTCACGTCCCATCATATTTCTTTATTACAGTCGGATACGCATGCCACACTGTAAGTGCACAGTTCAGTGGTGTTTATTCCATCCAGTGTCCTCAGCATACATTGTACCAGTTACACCATGAGCCTCAACTCCCTGTGCCCTAATGCCACGGTAGCCACCAGGCTGCTTGATTCGATTGCCCGTTCCTGGTGTTTCATTGAATGGACTCGCTGTATGACATTGTTCTGGCTGTTTCACCAAGCATGGTGTCATCAAAGTGCAGCTGTTGCATTGTTTATGGTTTTGTTTGCTCACCTGCTGACAGAAGCTTGTGGTGTGTTCACTTTCTGGTTATGCGACCGTTGAGCTTTGATGGACAAATTCTGGTTCTAAATCTGTAGGACAGGGCTTGCTGTGGTGGCCTAGTGGCTAAAGTCCTTGCCTTGAATGCTCTGGGATCCCATATGGGTGCTGGTTCTAATCCCAGCAGCCCCATTTCCCATCCAGCTCCCTGCTTGTGGCCTGGGAGAGCAGTCGAGGACAGCCCAAAGTCTTGGCACCCTGCACCCATCCTGGCTCCTGGCTTTGGATCGGCACAGTACCGGCTGCTGCGGTCACTTGGAGAGTGAATCATCGGACAGAGGATCTTCCTCTCTGTATACCTGACTTTGTAATAAATAAATCAATCTTTTTAAAATAAATACATCTGTAGGACACCGAGAAGCAGATCTGTAAGTCCTTGAGCCATCATCTGCTGCTTCCCACTATGGATGCTAGCAGGAAGCTGAAATACAGAGCTGGACCAAGCCTCGACCCAGGCACTCTGATTCAGGATGCTCTGCCAAGCACCTGCCTCTTGTAGTTTTCATCCGTGTTTCCCTAATGACCAGTGATGTTGAACATCTTTTCCAGGTGCTTAGTACCAATCTGAATATCTTTTTTGGAGAAATGTCTATTGGGTCAGTTGCTCATTTCTGAGAATTTCTTATCAGAATCCTTCAGTCCTAAGCTCTAGTCTAAGAAAACTGGGCTCCAGCAGGCACACATTCCAAAGCCACATCAGGAATCAGCAACTTAGGAGGTCTAGTCCCGACACATGCACTCCAAGATTGGACCACATATATTGTGATTTTTCCTGTGGCCAGGATTTTAATCCAGCCATCTAGCTGTCCCCCAAGAAACTTTAGCCTGGGTGACCTCAGAATTGACTCCTGGGCCTGGCATGGTAGTCTAGTGGCTAAAGTCCTCGCTTGCACACCAGGATCCCATATGGGCTTCAGTTCTAATCCCGGCGGCCCCATTTCCCATTCAGCTCCCTGTTTATGGCTGGGGAAAGCAATCGGAGCCAGCCCAAAGCCTTGGGATTCTGTACCCATGTGGGAGACCCAGAAGAAGCTCCTGGCACCTGGCTTCAGATCGGTTCAGCTCTGATCATTTCAGCCACTTGGAGAGTGAATCAGTGGATGGAAGATTTTCCTCTCTGTCTTTCCTCTACTCTGTACATCTGACTTTCCAATAAAAATAAATAAATCTTTTTTAAGAGGCAAAAAAAAGATTGACTTGTGTGTGCCAGTTAGTGCAGTGTCAAGTTTGGTCTGTTATCTATACCAGCCAATGAACACTAATGGATGCAGCTGGCTCGTCAATTCCACCCAACTCCTTTTCTCACATGAACAAATTGAGTGCTGTGGCCCAGCCCAAACAGCCCACCACAGACCTGTTCTCACGTATACCAGCGGGTGTCGTGGCCTAGACCTGATTTTTGTGTGTGCCAGCCTCTGCTGTGGTCTAAATCAGCCCTGGTTCTCATGCTCCCCAGCAGGGGCTGCAGCACAGCAAGGAAGTGCCCACAGAAGGAGCTGCAGTTTAGCAGGGGAGCCCACAAAGTTCTCCCACCAGGCCCATTCCCAGCCCCAGATCTTGCTTATGTTAGTGGGTACTTTGATCCAGTCTGGCATGGCCTGTCTATAATCTCATCACTTGTTGGTAGGCATTGCAGCCTAGCCCAACCAGGCATGATCCACACCCTTCCTAGCTCTTGTGTATGCAAGAGGGTGCTGTGGCTTGGTCCAGACCAACTTGTCTCCAGACCTGGCTCACACATATGCTGAGAAGTACAGCAGTCTTGTCTAGCCAGCCTGCCCCCAGCCCAGCTCTTGTGTTCCGGCTCCCCAGTGGGAGCTGCAGCCAGGGGAATTTCCCAAGTTTTTCTACCAAGCCTACTCACAGCCCTAAATCTCACATGTGCCAGTGGGTGTACAGTCCTGCCTGGTATGGCCTGCCCTCAGCCTTGGCCTTTGCATATGTCAGCAGGTTCTGCAGCCTGGCTCCTCCTGGTCTCCCCTACAGATGACAAAATCCTCTACCTCTGTGCCTACCTGGGGGAGGGATTTCCCTCCTTAAAGGTCAGGCTCTGTTTCCCAGCCATCCCAGTCAGCCTGTACACTGGCTTATTAATATTTTTATTTATTATTTATTTGAAAGGCAGAGTTACAGAGAGGCAAAGACAGAGATCTTCCATCTGCTGATTCACTCTCCAGATGGCCACAGTGACCGAAGCTGGCCAGGCAAAGTTAGGAGCACGGAGCTTCCTCAGGATCTCCCACGTGGATTCAGGGACCCAGGCACTTGGGCTATCTTTGGCTATTTTCCCAGGCCATTAGCAGGGAGTTGAGTTGGAAAGTGGAGCAGCTTGGACTTGAACTAGCACCTGTATGAGATGCTGGCACAACAGCTGTCAGCTTTATACACTATGCTGCAGTGCCAGGCCTATCTTTAACCAGAAATTCCCCACCTCTGAGTTGTGCAGCTGATGCTGGGGACATGGTGGTGACTAGCAGGAACCTAGTCCCTGCCCACAAAGCTCCTGATTCTCAGGAAGACTCAAAATATGACTTAGAGACCAAGATCCACAGGCCCACACCAATGCAGGCACACGATCCTGGCAGGCACAATTGATCCATCCGTGCAATAATGCCACCACATAGCTATTTTTTTACTTTGCATTAATTTAGACAGAGATTATATCTGCTGTTCTACTCCTCAATTGCTTGCTGGTCTGAGCCAAAGCTGAGAGCCAGAAAACTCAGTCAGGGTCTCCTACATGGGCAGCAACCCCAATCATCCGGGCCCTCTCTTGAACACTAGAGTCCAAAGCTGAGGCCAGAGATGGGGATCAGACCCAGGTACTGCCATGTTGATCGAGGGCATCTTAACCATCTCACCAGAGGACTGCCCAATCACCATTATCTTAAAGTCCATGATACAAGCTACTCAATGGTAGCAGTAAGCAGAAGCCTGCCAACGTTGAGAGGCTAACAGGATGCCTGGATTCTCATAGGAAGGCTCCTAGGTTTTGCTTGGCAAGCTCTACTTTAAGCATTGTGAAAAATGCTCTGGAGAGGCCATTCAAAGAATTTCTTCTCCCCGACCTAGGAGAAAAGTCAGAAGCATGCTTCCTTGCGGCTTCTACCGCCTGGGAAAGCTGGGGAAGGGGGAACTTGAGAAAGAGAGAGTGATAGAGAGAGATGATGGGAAAAAGAGGAGGAAGACAGAAGAGGGGAGAAAATTCCTTAGATGAAGGGACTTCATATGGTCCTGGGAAGCAGAATGGATGGATGGGACGATCTGAGAGCCCAGCAGGTGTCTGTCTAACTTTCAGGCAGAGAAGCCAGCAGGACACTACAGAAGCCATTGCTCCTGAGGGCTAAGGTCACACCTTAGGCTGAGCATGGCCCACAGAGGCCCTTATAGCGGACAGGGGCATGACTGAAATGATCCCTAGCCATAAAGAACTGAGTGGGGGCCGGATCTCAGCAAAAGTCTGACCTGCCCTCTGCCTCCTTCTGCCACAACAGCCACTGGGGCCCCCGTGCCCTTCCAGCACACTGGAAAGTGGCCATATGTGGGTCCAATCCCCTCCTGGGAATCATCTCCCCTGAGCCAGTCCTCTCAACTCTGTCGTCTACTCAGGCATCTGGAAATATCCAGCTTCTTCCAATCAGAGATCCAATGGCTCCCACACTGTGTCTGCTCCTTCTCTTTCCCTATTTCCCTGCTTAGCTCTTAGATGCAGGCTAGGGCGTTTGGCCGTGGTCTAGAACATACGTGCCTTGAGGAATAGGAGTCAGTTCTACCTGATCTTGTTTGCAGATGGAAGAATAGGGATTCACATACATGAATTTTCTGAAACAAGAGCCCTCCTCCCTGTGAGACCTATCTAGGTGGAATCAGTGTAGCTAGAAGGGAGGGTTAAGGGAGCTGTATACAAGGTGTGTAACAGTGAGTGTCTACTGAGAAGTGGACCTGGAGGGGCCAGCGCTGGGGTGTGGTGAGTAAAACGGCCACCTGCACTGCCAGCATCCCATAGGGGCACTGGGGTTTGAGCCCTGGCTGCTCCACTTCCAGTCCAACATTGCTTGGCAATGCTGCAGAGCATAGCCCAAGTGCTTGGGACCCTGGTACTCACGTGGGAGATCCAAAAGAAACTCTGGCTCCCGGGTTCAGTCTGGTGCAGCTCAAGTCACCATAGCCATCCGGGAAGATGAAAGACCTCTCTCTTTCTCTCTACATTTCCCTCTGTGACTCTGCCTTCCAAAGAAATAAATAAATCTTAGATAAAACTGGCAGGCATGGGGTGTGGAAAGTGTTCAGAGGAGTAAAAAAGTGTTGAATTTTCATGTGTACCACTGTAATGTCATTCGCTCACTGCTCTGAGTATAGACCCACCTCTTTGGGAAGCAAGAGGGACAGTCAGTAGAGAAAGCCTTGAACAGACAAACTTGGTTTCTTCTTATCCTTAGAACGGAATACGGAAAGCATGGAGAAAAAAATTGCACTGGGCCACCAGCTGGTTACAAAACAAGAGGGTATGGTGACCTCACACCCTGAGCATGTCACCCTGTCACCTAGAGCCAAGGCCAGTGCTCCTGGGTGACCTCACAAAGCCCAGTGTGGGGCCTGGCCCATAGTTTGGCCCCAGTTCACCATGCTGACCACCTGGTGCCTGCTGCTGGGGTTGGCTCTCCCAGTGTTGGGATACCAGGTGTCTGTCAACTGCCCCCATGGTCGGGTATGCCAACGGGCGTTCCTCTCGGGCAACACCATCCTCCTACACTGCAATGCCACCGGAGCCAAATGGTACCACGTCTTCATGCAGAAGAATGGTGACTGGATCCCCAGTACTTACTCTCCCCCCAATATGCACATGACGCCTGAAGGCAACCTCATCATCACCAACCCATTGCCCTCCCAGACAGGCATCTACCACTGCAGGAACAAGAATGACACACAAGTTGTGCAGTACGAGATTGACTTTCAAGATGTGTCCAAACTGCATGTTACACACAAGGACCTGGGCCAGCTACCCTTGGAGAACGAGAGCTTGAGCCTGGACCACAACGAGCTCATCTTCACCTACTGGGAGCCGTGGCAGGATTGTAACAAGTGTGGAACACCTGGGGAGCGCAAACGTGTGGGCTATTGCTACATCCAGATGCCCCCGGAGAACCCCGCTCCCTGCTGGCTCTATCTGGGGGCAGTTGATGTGTGGACCAACCGCATGAGGCCGGAGCTGCAGGTGGAAAGCTGCCATACCCAGTGCGAACCTGGATCCTTCTTCCAAGTGAACTTTGCCATGTTTGACAGCTACAGTTTCAGCGAGGAGACAGAATCGGTGCAGCTCACCTGCCCCATGGCTTCCGTTTACAGGTGCAAGAACCCGGACACGAATGGAAAGGTTTTGGGGTTCTCCCTTTAGAGAATCTTGAGGAGTTGGAGACTCCCAGTGGGAGGATCTTGGAGAAAGGGGGGGGGAATTGAATATTCATAGGGGAGGTGGCGTGTGGGAGGGGCCTTGAGGACTGTCAGGGAAGTGTCAAAAGTGTTGTTAGAGCATCAGGCGCATGATGGGAGGAGTGTCAGCCATGGCAGTTTTGTTCCCGTGCTGCTGTGGTGAGCCCTAGGCCCCGCAGGTGTATAATCAGCAACAGATATTCTAGGCTGTTGCTGGTTCAGGCTCACAGTTGTGCTTTGTAGAAATAATAATTTTTTGCATCACAATGGGGTGGTTGGGATGGAGTAAGTAGGGCTGCAAGGAGGCGCTGATAGCCTCATCACCTGTGTTACTTTTCCTGCTCCTGTTCATCCCTTCATCGTTTTAAATATATAGATTTTATTTATTTTTATTGGAAAGTCAGATTTACAGAGTGAAGGAAAGACAGAAAGATCTTCCATTCACTGGTTCACTCCCCAAGTAGCTGCAGTGGTCACTGCTGAGCTGATCTGAAGCCAGGAGCTTCTTCCAGGTCTCCCATGCAGGATTGGAAATGGGGCTGGGATTTGAACAGTGTAAGGCGAGGACTTTAGCCACTACGCTACTGTGCTGGGCTACCTTCATCTTTTTTTTTTTTTTTTGAAGTAATTTTTAAGAGACCAGACGCAGTGGCATAACAGGCTAATTTTTCGCCTGGGTGCCAGCATCCTGTATGGGTGCCAGTTCAACTCTTGATAACTCTACTTCCAGTCTAGCTCCCGGCTTATGACCTGGGAAAGCAGAGGAGGATGGTCCAAGTCCTGCACCCATGTAGGAGGCTCAGAAGAAGCTCCTGACTCCTGGCTCTGGATTGGCTCAGCTCTAGCCATTGTGGTCATTTGGGGAGTGAACCAGCAGATGGAAGATTATGTGTGTGTGTGTGTCCTTTCTGTAAATCTACCTTTCAAATAAAAATAAATCTTTTTAAAAAATGGTTTTTAAGATTTTATTTTATTTTATGAGACAGAGAGTCTTCCATCCACTGGTTTACTCATCTAATGATCACAGTGACCGGAGCTGAGCTGATCTGAAGCCAGAAGCCAGGCACTCCTTCTGGGTCTCCTACATGTGTTCAAGGACCCGAGGACTTGGGTCATCCTCTACTGCTTTCTCAGACCATAATCAAGGCTCTGGATCAGAAGTAGAGTAGCTGGGAGCTGAACCAATGCCCGCATAGGATGTGGGAGCTGCAGGTAGCGGCTTATCCTACTATGCCACAGTGTCAGCCAACATCCCTTCACCCTTATTGGGCACTTGAGGGAGGAAAATGCCTGCTGTGTCAGGAGGCAGTCCTGTTCCTCAGGGAAGGACCATCCCTTCTTAACAATGGAGGGATTTCATTAGAGGTTTGTCATGAGGGGCTGGTGAAGTCTGGGGTCCTCGCCTGATCATCACCTTGACATGCAACTGTTGACTTCTGGAACACACTAGTTTCAGGCTGAGTACAGAAGGGTCAAGAAGGCACAAAGTTAAGAATCCCATCAGAGGGCCCGGCAGCGTGGCTAAAGTCCTCGTCTTGAATGCCCCAGATCCCATATGGGCGCCGGTTCTAATCCCCGCTGCTCCACTTCCTATCCAGCTCCCTGCTTGTGGCCTGGGAAAGCAGTCGAGGACGGCCCAAAGCCTTGGGACCCTGCACCTGTGTGAGATACCCGAAAGAGGTTCCTGGATCCTGGCTTCTGCTGGCATAGCATCGGCCATTGCGCTCACTTGGGGAGTGAATCATCGGACGGAAGATCTTCCTCTCTGTATATCTGACTTTCCAATAAATAAGTAAAATCTAAAAAAGAAAAAAAAAAAGAATAAAGAATCCCATCAAAGAAGGGAGAGTAATTTTTGAAAAAGATTTATTTTTATTGGAAAGTCAGATATAAAGAGAGGAGGAAAGAGAGGAAGAGCTTCTTTCCAATGGTTCACTCCCCAAATGGCTATAACAGCTGGAACTGAGCTCCAATCCAAAGCCAGGAGCCAGGAGTTTCTTGTAGGTCTACCACTTGGGTGCAGGGTCCAAGGCTTTGGGTCATCCACCATTGCTCTTCCAGGCCACAAGCAGGGAGCTGGAAGGGAAATGGATCAGTTGGGACATGAACAAGTGTCCATATGTGATGCCAGCACTTGCAAGAGGAGGTTTAACCAATTGAGCTTTTGGCTCATTTGGACGAAGAACCTGATATCCTCCTGTTTGCCTCTGGTGTCCTTCAACCTCTTGAACCCCCCAAGCCACCTCCCCCTGGCACCACTTGGTGTGGAGTTGGAGTTTCAAGAGGCCTAAAGCCCATTGCTGGTTTCCTCTACCAAAAGTGTAGCAGCATTGCCTGACTTCCAGCTTCCAAGCCTTTCTGTGGTCATTGAGTTGGGCTGTTTGGACCAGCAGGCCACTGGTTGCAGAAATGGGATGCATTTTGGGGTGATATTGCTCAAGGACAGTCCTTGTCCTTCAACTATAGACAGGCTGAAGATCTGATTTGGATTAGGAGTCCCTAGTGCAGGGACCTGAATGTTTTCATTAGGGCAGTCAGTGCGTACCCAAAGTGCGTAAATACCAAGACCCTTGAAGGCCTTAGGTTGTGTCTGGCTGTCTACCCAGATCCTGGAGTCCACACCTCACAGGAGCCTGCTGACCCAGGAATGCAGTTCATTGTGTTTTTTGTTTTGTTCTGTTTGTCTGGAGTGGCCTCCTAGGTGCTCTGTTCCCTTTCACTTAAGCAAAAAGAGTTTCCCAGCAGCAGGAGGTAGTCCAGGTGGGCTACTGCCGAAGTAAAGAGCTGGGATAACTGACTAGCCTAGTTTCCTTTAAAAAAAAAAGGAAAGGAGGAAGGAAGGAAGGAAAGAAGGAAGCAAGGAAGGAAGGAAGGAAGGAAGGAAGGAAGGAAAAAGAGAAAGAGAAAGCAAGAAAGCAAGAAAGCAAGAAAGCAAGAAAGAAAGAAAGAAAAAGAAAGAAGAAAATGCAAGACACAAATGACATCTTCACATGGTTCCTACTGAGCAGGGCTAGAGATGGAGATAATCTGTTATATGATAGAAGAAGGCTCCAGGTGTCAAGTTGAGTTTCTCTGAGTTCTGTGGCAAGGGTGTGGCCCAAAAATTGAGGGATACCCTTAAAGCCTCCAGGAAGCACAGAACGCTGAGGAGTCATAGTTGAGAATGGATCAGTCCAAGGTGAATGCTGCCGAGATTCTGGGTGTGAAGGGGGAAGGCATCTTCTGGGGACCAAGTGATGCCCTCCAGGATTAGAATAGAGCAGGAGATGTGGACCCATGGATGGAGTGGAATGACAGCCTCGTTCGTGGCCCTCAGGTCCCGAACTGTTCTGCATTCCCCATTGAGCTTGGAACCTTGCAGAATGAGAATTGTAGGGGACCCTACATGGAGACAGAGCTCCATGATCCAAGAATTTCTTCATCAAAGGGCAGAGGCCCCTCCAAGCTCTGACTTTAAGGGGACCTGGAGTGGAGGAGGAAGCGTCATTTAGTCCTTTAGGAGGACTGTGGTGTCATAGACCTCAAATGCCACACACTTGGCCATGGGGTCCTCTTGCCCTTCCCCATGAGCCCTATTAGCCCCTCTCTCATGTGGCATGTCAGGGAGGGATTATCCAAACAATGTGAGGGGTATCTCTGCAGCATGGGGGAATCCGCCTTGCATCCAGCACCCAATTGCTTGTCCTTGTCTGTTCCAGCTGTGGCTTCTTTCTTTCCATCTCAGTGACTGACCTCTCCTCCTGCCCCCTCCTTTAAGTGTTAAAGCAGCACCCAGTTCAGACATGCAAGAAAAGCCCTATGAGTCCCACCTCTCATCTCTAGGGGCCCCTGCCTGTCCACATCAGCCACCCAGGCCTTCCCCTGGTATAGTTGCAGGGACCCTGAGAGAGCCGCCAAGGAGTCCAGACTCATCTTGAGCGCTAGGGAACGGAACGGAGTGGCTGTTGTCTCCCCCAGGCTCTGGGCTCCCACATACTCAGGTCCCACGCCCAGCTCTGCCACCTTGCAGCTGTGCAGCTTCTCCCAGGCCTCTGGGTCCTTATGTGCTCACTTCCTTGCTGGCACCTCTGGAGATGAGAAGGTATCAGCAGGACCTCTTCCTTTTACCTGCCTTTCTTAAATCGCTGCCGGCAGGAGCCAGAGACCCCTGGGCTTGTCCAACTTATAGCTGCGCCTCTGCCCTGCCCACCGCCATCATCATTTGGCATCCTTCCCATGTGTCTGTCTCATCTCCTTTCTTCACCAGGACACCAGTGGTGTGGGATTCAGGGTCCACCCTCCCTTAGGATGATCTCATTCTGACTAATGACATCTATAGCAAACCGGTTTCCAAATATCATTGTCCTCCTGTGTTTCTGGGAAGGTTGTGAATTTTGGGGGCGAGGGGTGCAGGCAAGTGTGCAACTGCGTGCAGAAAGGCCTTGGTGGCTGGGGAGGTCATCGAGGCCTTTCGGGAAGCTGGCTGCTGTGATGCTGTGGCTTCCTGCCGCTAGGTTGTGCTACAAGAATCCCCTCTGTCCTCGTCCATGCTGACTGTGTTGTGCACCTGATCCATCCACTTACTGTTGTGGGTACTGACCAAGGTCTCTCACCCCAAGGGGGCAGGGAAATCTATAGATGTCAAGATGGAGAAAGTATACAGTGTTTTAGGTGGCAGTGAGGGTAGGAGGAGATACGGGTAGAGGAGAGATGGCTATTAAAAGAGGGGTTGGGGAAATCTTGTCTGAGAAGGAGCTATTTCTTTTTTCTATGATTTATTTATTTGAAAGGCACTGTTGCAGAGAGAGATATCTTGGCATGTGCTGGCTCATGCCCCAGAGAGCAGCAATGGCAGTGGCTGGGCCAGGCTGAGGCCAGGAGCTTGGAACTCCATCCAGGTCTCCCCTGTGGGTGCAGGAACCCAAGCATTTGAACCATCCTCCACTGTTTTCCCAGATGCATCAACAGGGAACTGGATCGGAAAGGGAGCGGCTGGCAGTCACACAGATGCCAGTGTTTCAGGTGGAGGCTTAACCTGTTGTGCCATAGTGCTGGCCCCAGGAGGAGACATTTCAGCAAAGATCAAAAGAAGTTGAGGGAGTCATGTTACTGAGGACAGGTGTTCCACGTGGCAGGGACAGCTGGGGCAGAGGTCCCGGAGGTGAGAGATCTAACCCAGTTTGGTAGGACAGAGTAAGGGAGGGAGAAAGGGGAGGCAATGATACCAGGGCACCAGTCATTGAGAGAATGTGCCCGCCAATTCTTCCCAATGCCCGCCACATAAGAGTTCATCACTCCCAAGTCCAAGGCCATGGCCTGGTCCGCCCAGCTCCTGGATGCACCCTTGTTGGGGGGGGGGGGGCGCCACATAGTGCTTTCCCAGCGGGTGCTGTGTTTGCTGGTTCCCAGCAAGGAAGGCACTGCTCTCTCCAGCTCCCTTTCGATGTCAATGCCCCCTTTCCTCCCTGAGGGACCCTACTCCCCACTGCCCACCACAGCTGACCTTGGTGTCCTTGTAGGCCCGTTATCTGGGAGGTCAACGAAGTCCCCCTGACTTTGAAGGATCAGCTCTCTGGCAAGGACTTCAGCACCTTCTTGGACCTAGAGACGGGGGGCCAGCAGCTGAAGATCTTCAAGCCAGCTGTGTGCAAGTGCTTCGTGAATCAGCAGTTCATAGCCCGCTTCAATCCGCTCAGCAACCAGGCCGCGCTAGAGGCTTCCAAGATCCAGGCAGAGGAGGACGTGTCGCCCACCTTGCCCCACTCGGCCCTCAGCATGTTGCTGCTGATGCTGCTCACCTGCTGTGTGGTGACCCTGCTGGGGCTATTGCTCAAGCTGCTCTGTCCTTTGCAGGGCAAACGGAGCTATGAGACGCTGCTAGTGAGATAAAGCAAGCCCTCAGGGGACACGAGGACCCTTCATTGCCTCGCTGTCTCTTCTGTGACACCTACTTTTGTGCCCTGCCCCCTTGCCACGCCCTGAGATGCAGCAAGGCCTGAATCTGCAAATGACCCATCTCTTCCCACTGCAGGTCCTGCTCTGTTGGCTCAGTGGTCACAGATTGCTCCCATTCCACACATGGGGACGCTAAGACCCAGCTATCTGTCTAGTCAGGCAAGGAGGAGGGAATCAGACCATTCTCAGGGTGCTTGTCAAGGTGTGGTCCACTGTAGCTGCGGCAGGATGAGGTGGCCAATGCAAGTGGGCTACCTCCAAGAGCCCCTGTAACAACAATGCTGGCCCCTGCTGCTTGTCCCCTGCCCCCTGCCTCCCCTGCCTCCAAGCAGTGGTGCCTAGGCTCTGCCTATGTCCAGTCCAGACACACGCTGCACTTCCCAGTTCCTGCCCCCTTCCTCCAGACACTGGGAAGTGGGGGCCAGGCTGTTCCACCGCCAGGACAGGGAGGGGAGGCGCCAGGCCTGGCTCAGCTGACCCATGGGAATCACAGGTCTGGCTGTTCCCAGAAGCTGTGTACACTATTGAGCAGAGTGCAGAAGCGAGGGATAAAATATTAATGCCTTTTAAAATTAATTGCCTTAAGACTCCACCATGAAACAGTGACAGGGAGGGAGGAAACTGGGCCTCGGCAAGACTTCTGTCCCATCCGTCCCCATCCTTCTCCTCAGGGGACAGCACACCCCACCACCGCCCTCACACTCAGGGCTTCAGGGGGGTACACAGAGGCTAGCAGGTTCCTGCAGGATGTAGAACAGTCCCCAGGTAGACTCCTAGGGCTGCCTAGGAGGCAAAGGCCGAGAGCAAGTGGGCCAGGGCCAGGCGGCCATGTGGGGACCCACTGCTACTGCTGTTGCCACCGCTGTGGTCAAAACTCAGGTCTTTGCTCCCCCAGCCTCCCAGGGGCTGCAGTCCACTGCCTTGGTTTTACACCCCAGAAGCCTCCAGCAAACTGCCCAGGTCATAGACCACACTTGGGAGGGGCCCACGATGGCAGGGTGAAAGGAAATCTGTGCCCCCCCTCTGACTACCAGGTCACCCCCCTGAGTCCTGTTCCCCAGCCCTGGGGAGCCCCCACTGCTAGGCAGAACAGACAGCCAAGTGGGAGCCTGTGGTCAAGCACATGTATGCAAGTGTCGGATGTCACAGACTCAGCCCCCGGGGTTCGCAACGCCCCCTGGTGGTGGCCCCAGGGACCACCCTGTTCCTGGTGTCACTGCCTCAGCAGAGTACCTTGAATCAGATCCTGTATGGCTAGAGTGCTGGCTGTTCCAGGTACAGGTTCCTTTGTTATACCAAGCTGTGTCTGAGCGAGTGAGAAGGTGATGTCCTTGCTGACTGGACAATGTGAGCGGCCAATGTGAAGTCCATGTGGCCAGGAGTTTCCAGCAACCCCTAGGGTACCTGTAGAAGCAGCTGGATCACCAGCGGTTGTGGCCATGAGCACACGTAGGTAGACCCCAGCCTGGCAGAAGTCGCCTGCTGCCTGAGCTGTCATGAGGTGGAGTGGGGTCACAGAGCGTGCCAGAGTTATCCCCACTCACCTTAGGAGCCTGCCAGGTCACAGGTGGGACAGGCTGGAGGCTGGCCCAGAGTCTACACCACCCCACCCTCCATTACTGTCCCCCAGGGTGGCAGTTAGAGGTGGCCATCTAGCTTCTGCACTCAGCTGGTACAACTCTCCCCATGTCCTCAGATGACCACAATGGAAGCATATGTGGGGACCGCAGAATGCTCAGGGGACACAAAACTAGAAGACAGGCATATTTCAGTACAAGCTCTTTTTTTTTTTTGAGGTTTATGCACATGAAGTTCATGTATGTTTTTAAAAATCCATGCGTAGATGCCAACTTTTTTTGCAGCACAATGAAAAACTTCTCAACATATTGACCAATTGGTTATGATATGCTTGCCACATTGGTAGCAGCCACGACAGTGGGATGCATGCTGTAGCCCTGGCACGCAAATGCCTGGCAAGTGTCAACTTGTTCCATCCTCATAGCTCTATTGAGGTATGACGAATCACACTAGCATTCCTGGGGCTAGCACTGTGGCTCAACTGGCTAATCCTCCATTCTATGGCACCAGCATTCCATATAGGCACTAGTTTGTGTTCCAGCTGCTCCACCTCCATCTCCTTGCCAATGGCCTAGTAAAGCAGTGGAGGATGGCCCAAGTCCTTAGGTCTCTGCACTCACATGGAGACCTGGAAGAGTCTCCCGGCTCCCAGCTTCAGATCAACTCAGCTCTGACCATTGAGGCCATTTGGGTTGTGAATCAGTGAATGGAAGACATTCTTTATCTCTTCTCTGCTCTCATCTGCCTTTCAAATCAAGATAAATCTTTTAAAAAGAAGAATCATTACTCCCACTTTGCAGATGGCAAAACTGAGGCCTCCAAGAGATTATGCCCTTGCTTAAGACTACCTTGGCTCTAAGCAATGGAGGGCCGTTGCTGTTAATTAACCACATCATACCAAAACCTCACTCAACGAGCTATTCTGGCTCGATGCCGTTCTATCAGGAAACCATCATTTCCTATGTCATCCTTCCTGGCAATACACCAGGTGGGCTCTGTGATAACCCCATTTCTCAGATAGGGAAATGGAGGCACACACAGTCCTCCATCTGGAGCAGGTGGAACCGGAATGCAGGTGGTGGGCTCCAGAATCTACAACTTCTGCCCACAGGGCTCCACCCCTGATCTGGGGCTGACGTACGTGTCTGAGAGCTCTCATGAAGATGGTCGGAGGCTCCCGGGACACTGGGTGCTCTTGCTAGCCAAGTGTCAGCCCCTCCCTACTCGCCCCTCCAGCCGCTGCCTGGCACAGCCTTCCCAGAACTCATGTGGACAGGCTGACCTAATGCAGGCTGGGCCAGAGGGGTGAATCCAGGCAAACAGGCCAGTGGCCGGGCCTGAGTCACCAGCAGACAGGGCGCGGTGGGGGCAGGGAGGGGTGTGAGCTGGCGCCAAGGAGGGCGTGGCTGTGGGAGGGCCCTCCAGGACGGCAGCTGACACTCCTCAAAGCACTTGCCTGTGACCCTGGCCTTGACATCCACCAGACCCTTGAGCCACAGCCCTTGTTGCCCACCACCCTGACCGGAAGCCTGGGCAAGAGTCCAAGGCACATTTAACACATTTATGAGAAACCAAGACGTGGCTATTTATACATCTTTTGATTCATCTGCCAAGGCAGAACTGAGTAGAAGCAAATATCGCATGAGCGGAAAGCAGGTGTGTCCTGCTGCATGGCTCACACGTTCCCTGTGGCCCCAAGGATGATGATCTTGACAGGGCAGGCTGCACACACACAGCCTCATGTGGCCCAGCCATGACATGGGACTGGGACCCAGGCCAGTTCTTAACTCACCTGGCAGTCAAGCTCCACCATGCAATTCCTACATGTTTGAAAGGCAAAGTTACAAAGAGAGAGGGAGAAACTGAAAAAGAAATCTTCCACCCACTGATTCACTCCCCAAATGGCTGCAACAGCCAGGTCTGAAACTCCATCTGAGTCTTCCACATGGGTGGCAGGAACCCCAAGCACCTGGGCCATCTTCCACTGCTTTTTCCAGACACGTTAGCAGGGAGCTGGATCAGAAGTGGAGCAGCTAGGACCTGAACCAGTGCTCAGATAGGATGCTGGTGTTAAAGGCAAGCAGCTTAACTCACTGTGCTAGAGCACTGGGTGTTGGCATGGATGTCGGGCGGGACAGAGCCCTCCTCCAACGGCTGGTGAGACTCTGGAAATGTCCCACCTGTTTTGTACCGTCTCCTCTCACATCTGTGCCCACACTGTCCTCCTGGGCCTCCTCTTTCCTCTCTGATATTGAAGCGATTGCTCTCTTAGTCCACTCTTTTCTTCATTCCTTCCTCCTCCTTCCTTTATTTGAGAGACAGGCAGAGCTCTCCTCCACTGGCTCCCACTGTCTGTGTAGCTAGGGCAGAACCTGGGACCTGGGGACTCAAGCCCGGGCTCCCACAGGGATGGCAGGGAGGCGACACTAGCAGGAAGATGGGATCATGAGCAGGAACCTGGTGCTGAGCTCAGAAGCTCTTCTGTAGGATGTGTCTCAGCTGGCATTGTGACCACTAGGCTAAATGCCCACCCCTATGAGCACCCTTACAGAGAAAAAGGAGAGAGCTCTTCCACTAGTGGTTTTTTTTTTCCAAATGGCCACAATGACCAGAACTGAGTTGATCTGAACCCAGGAGCTAGGAGCTTCCTCCAGGTCTCCTACATGGGTGCAGGATCTCAAGGCTTTGGGCCATCCTCCTCTGCTCCCCCATGCCATTAGCAGGGAGCTGGATGGAAAGTGAAACAGCCAGGACTTCAGGATGCTGGTGCTATGGGAGGCGGGGCGGGGCTACTACACACTGCTGGCCCTTCCCGATTTCTTTTTAACCAATGAAATCATCAACAGGAAACATGAGCAGGTGTTCAAGTGTGTATCAAGTTCTCCACCAATGGAGACTCACCCAGCCTCCCAAGCTTGGAGCCCCAATCAACACCATTATTGGGCCACCTAACAGGCACACCTATCAGCTGGCTGTGGGGGCTCCTGCCAGGCTGCAGGTGGGGACACCCCTGGAGGCCTGGACTGGGGCTTCTAGAAAGGAGTGCCCCCTGCAGGCCGGAGCTGCAGCCTTCTCTTGGCGACCCCAATCCCTCATCCATGAGGGTGTGGACGCCCATGTGAGCAACACGTGGTGACCTCAGGGGTCCTGTCCGGAGCCTTTGGGATTGGAAGACTCTCAACTTCCAGTCTCTGGGTCCCCAGTGGCCGACACCACACCTGCCACCTACCTCCTCTCCTCCACCAGCCACTTCCTTCCTGCTGAGGCAAGCAGTGGCCACAGCCTCTGCTGTTGAACTCCTCAAAGTTTCCACTCCTCTCACCAAGCGGTTTGCGCCCGCTGCAGGCTGGCGATTCATCACTGGCCCGCCCGAAGAAGC